TTCTTAAAGTGAGCTGAGCTGAGGAGATAGTCTTTAAGTCAACTGTTACTTGAGGTCCTAGGTAAGGGAATACGACCATAGTGGTACATCCATCTTTTTTGCCATTGCTCAGAGGCAAGTATACAGCTTAGCCCATGCCCAAATGGAGGAGTTTTACAAGGCTGGGAAAATGAAGAGGCAGGGATCATGCAAACACCCTGGAGTCCTCCTCCATTGTGGTTCCCCCTGAATTGCACTCATCTGACTCCACTTAACATCTTATTAATCCTACTTGGTGCAGGACTATTGATGTATCGATTCATGGCTCTGGCAGACCCTAGTGTGGGTGGGCACATAATTTAGAGGTTCTGTGCATTATGCATTATAATCTCAAAAATATTGTGAATTTTATATTTGGCCCCAAGGGTTTCAGATAAGGGATTATGAACCTGTCAGTGATTCCTCTTCCCTGTCCCATATGTGAATACCACCACCATTTTAAAAATAGAGTATCTCTGAGTTGATCCAACAAAGACACATGGATGTGAAAAGTGGAACTGATGTAACTCTATTCAGATTTCACTGAGCTGATTATCACTGATTATTCACTGTTATCTTTCACACACATTACATTATGATTCAGTGTATTTCTGAAATGAGCTTGTGTCGCCCCTAAAAAATTCTTACTTTTAAAAACCCTCATTATTAAATTTCTTCTACATAATTGTTTCCAATAAGTGTAATCAATTAAACAGTATTTGTGGAGGCACAAAGGCCCAGGTCACCTGCCTGTCCTTCACTGTGAAGTATTGTATCTCTTTCTTCTCTGCCTCTAACCATGATTTGGAGCATTTCAGGGAACAACCAGGGATGTCAGACGAGGATTCGTGGACGTCGGAGGAGGAATCATGGACGTCAGACGAGGATTTATGGACGTCAGAGGAGGAATCAGGGGCATCAGAAGAGGAATCAGGGACGTCAGAGGAGGAATCAGGAAAACAGGGGTAGGAACCAGGACAACGGGGAGACCAAGGAGGAGGTGACTATGGTGGAGGAGGCCGCCCTTCAACTATACTTGGTGTGAGGTAGCAAATCATATGGAAGCTCCAGCTTGAAATGGAAACCCCATTAGATGCTGAGAGGGGAGCCCCAGGGAGGTAGAGGGTGAGAAGCTGTGTGAGCAGCTCCCCTGTTGTGTGAGGACATTGGCAGCCCATCGGCAGGAGCTGTGCACAGTCCCCCCAGCACAGTGGACACAACCATGTCCTTGCCAAAGATGTGTGTCCGGGCTCTGAGGTGAGTGAGCGTCCCAGACTCCTGTAGCAGCACCTGCTCTCAGGTCAACGCTCACATCTATGGTTATTTAGGTTGATACCCAAGATTGTGACCCGGAAATAAAAGTTTCATCCTCTCGTTCTTCTAAAAATTAGATCATATTGTTTCCCTAAAATACAATCCCATGGTCCATATACACTTTCAGGGAGAATCTCATCCCTATTCACCCTTGCTGTGATGGCCCCTGCTGTAAATACAGTTGTCCCATCATGTGCCAGCCTATTTTAAGTCCACATGTGTGTAAAATTAGAGAAACCACGATGTGCAAGGTCATGTGACAGATTCCCAAAACTGGCACAGAGACCACCAGATTAATTTTTCCTGCAGTGTGCTAGTGCAAAGCAGTCAGCAAAAGAAGGCTGCCTGGTGACCTTGATGTGGGTGGTGGGTTTGTGCCCCACTAATTTGGGAGTGGATCCTGGGAGCTTTCTGGAAGAGAGTCCTGGTGGACACAGACAACTTTCTACATATTTAGGAGGTGGAGAAAGGCTTCATTTAGATAGTTACTGTCTTGTTCTGTGTGCAGCGTTTCCTGGTGAGGCTGTAGAGATCCCTGTAGTTACGCCTGAGCATCAGCATATGAGGCTCAAGAAGCTGATAGCTTACATTAAACATACACTGGTTTTATTTAAGGTGAACTATTGTTAGCTGATAAACATGTCATTGTTGGTTTATGTTTGTTCACTTTTGCAGTCAGTGTGCCTCTGGATGAAGACACAGCTCATGATAACCTAACTCTCTCTGAGAACTGGACAGAAGAGACTTACGGACACACCCTTCAAGAAGCTTCACACTTCTGGGAGGCTTAGCATGTGAACCTGTGTCCTGGGCTGTGAGGGCTTCACCTCAAAGAGACATTATTTTGCAGTGGACATGGGAGAAGGAGCCAAGTGTGATTTGGGAGTTTGTCTAGAGGATGTGCCCAGGGACATAGAGGGGATGCTGAGCCTCAGTCTGCTTTCTGGGCCATCAAGAAACAAACAATGACCACATTCACCTGACTGGTCCTGCACCCTCTCTTCTTGCTCGAGAGCCATGCCAGATTGGGATCTTTCTGGACTGTGAGGCTGGACATGACATCTGGGGCCCACATCGAAACTTTTGCATAGGCCTCCTTCCATGATATTCTCCAAGCCTTTTACAGGGTTAGTCATTCTTCTTTATTCCTGCCTCCACCAGAAACATCAGGAAAAGAGTAAAATCTTTGGTTTCTCTTTGTTGAACCTTGCCTTACCCCTCATTGTGAATATAATTGACCCGCTTGAGGGCAGAAATTTCATTTGCTCTCTTTCCTTGATTTCCCTCTACCTGGGACAGTGCTGAGCTGTCAGCGACTAATCAATAATGAATCTGCATGGAGGGCCTCCAGGTGGCACAGCGGATTGAGCGCAGCACTGTGAAGCTGTCCGCACCCGCTGCAGCGCGGGTTTGATTCATGGCCAGCCAGGGAGATACCCACATGGCGCAGCAGACCTCTCCTGACTCGCCCACTGCTCCCCTCAGCTGTGTTTTCAACTTTCTGCCTTTTCTGCTCCCTGCTCTGTCTCTGGTGAATTCTCTCACCCTCCCGTGCTTCTCGTCTGTACCCCAGCTCTTGTATTAATAAATAAATCTTTAAAAAATAAAAAAATAAATCTGCATGGACAAATGGGTGTGAAGACTCAAAATGCTGTAGAAAATAAGCCTGTGCTGGGGGGAGCAAGATACAAGCCATGATCACACGTCGTCCTCTCCGTCCCTCTTCAGTGGGGTCAGAGGCCTCATTTCCAAGGGTCCTTCTCTGAACAACAGGGTAGCCAGCGGCCTGGAGGGCTAAGTGTTCCCATGGTGTTTGATGCCATTAAAAGTTGTGGGGTTGGCCTATGTTTATAGCAGCACTGTTTACAATAGCTAAGCTTTGGAAACAACCCAAATGCCCAAAATAGATGACTGGATCAAGAAGATGTGGTACATATACACAATGGAATATTACTCAGCAATCAAAAAAGATAAGCACATGCAATTTGCAGCAACATGGATGGCGCTGGAAGGGATCATGCTCAGCAAAATAAGCCAAAAAGAAAAAGGAAAATACCGGATGGTCTCACTCATAGCAGGAATCTAGCAAACTTAAATAAGGGACCAGGAAAATGAATAACTATAAGAAAGTGAAAATCAGAATCAACAAAAAAATATGAAACAGACACTTTTGGGGGGTGGGGGGGGCGGGAGGGGAGGGATTGGGATCAGAAAGGGGGGGTTGCAATTGTATGGGGAATATAAAAATAAAATTTATTATTTAAAAAAAATAAAAATAAATAAAATGTCAAAAAAATAAAGAAGATGTTATATTTATGTAATGGAAATAAATAAAAGATGTGGGGTTGGGGGCCTCCCCGGTGGCACAGCAGTTGAGTGCTGGGCTGCAAAGCTGCCCACAGTCTCTGCAGTGCGCATTCGATCCCCAGTCACTGGCGAGGGTCCACATGGCACGCAGACCTCTCCTGCTGCCCGCTGCTCCCTCAGCAGTGTACTTCGTCAGTCTGCCTGCTCTGCTCCCTGTAGTGGTTCTGGTGAATTCTCTCACCCTCCCTTGCTTCTGACTATACCCAGTGCTCATACAAATAAATAAATAACTCTTGAAAAAAAAAAAAAAAAGATGCATGGGAGGAGGTGAAGTGGTAACTGCCTCCATCAACCACAAAAAAAACAGGATAAGCCTGTGGTGGTGATTCTTTTAACTACTGCCATGTAGATGGTTAATCTGAACTGTAGTCCTGGGTAACTCCCAAGTGCAGACAACAACCAGACTAAGCAAGTCTATTGGGCAACAATGGAGTGACGTGGAAGAGATTTACAGAGTTTAGCTTGAGGGTCTTGATGAGGGGGAGATTATGGATAAATAATGAAGTTTGTTGAGGTCTCAGTATGAGAAAAGTAGTCGCTCTATGCCAGACTTTGCTAGTGCCAGTTATCTTGAATTATTAGAAAACCTCAAACATACATCTGTGGCATTTTTCACAGTCTTTTAATGATAAAGATATGATCATATAGGCCTTTGTCACACCTAAATTTCCTGACCTGATTTGGCAAAGGACAGCAGCACAGTGGTGTAGTCAGCCTGATCACACAGCATCAGTGATGACAGAATAAAAACTGAGTTGCCAAATGTTACTATAATGGTTTTTGATATTGAAGTCTTCTGAATCATCAGTCCAGGAAAGGGGTAGTGAAGTCAA